ACCCCAACCCCAACCCCAACCCCAACCCCAACCCCAACCCCAACCCCAACCCCAACCCCAAATACCCATTCCAACGTCATTTATGTATTTATTTATCAACTATTCATTTTATATATAAATTTTATCAACTATTTATTTTATATATAAATTATTTCATATTTTCCATTTATATATAAATTTTTTCATATTTTCATTTTATATATAAATTTTTTCATATATTCATTTTTATATAAATTTTTTTCATATTTTCATTTTTATATAAATTTTTTCATATTTCCATTTTATATATAAATTTTTTTCATATTTTCATTTTATATAAATTTTTTTCATATTATTTATATAATATTTTTTTAATATATATTATTTATTTAATTAATTATATTATTATTATTTCATATATATATATATATATATATATATATATATATATATTATTTATTATTTTTATTTATTTTAAAATAAAATATTATAATTATTTTTATTTTAATAATATTTATAAAATAAAAATTTATCTAATATTTTATTTTTATTTTAACTTAATTTTTTGTTTAATAATAATTTTTTTTTTTTTATTTTAATTTCATTATTAAACCTTTATAAACTTCTTGCTTTATAAAATTGAAAATAATTATCATATTTATTAATATTTTTATTATCGGTATTTTTAGTAAATTCATAATATTCAAATATAATAATTATTTATAGTTATTTTATGTATTTTTATATAATATTTGTGATTTAATTCATTTAATTAATTAAAATTTATATTCATATAATTATAATTAATTTAATAAAAAATTAAATATTTTTATGCATCCAAATATAATTCTGTTTTATTAAATCAAAGAAAATATTTAATTATTTTTTTTTTAATATGTGTTTATACTTATTTTATATTTTAATTATAATTATTATATTATTTTTGTAATTTATTATAAATATATTAAATATATTAAAAATTTGTTATATATTAATTAAAATAAATAATATTTATTTATAAATATTAATTATTTATTTTTAAAAATATATACATGTTATCATTCTTTATCTTTTATTGATTATTATGACCTAGAAGAAGTAAAAATATTATAAACATAAATTAAGTTTTGCTTCCTACTCTAAACTATAATTTATTGAATAACACTTGCTTTGTTAATTAATCTTTATATTTTCCTTTAGTAAACAACATACATAAGAAAATATGATATATATATAATATTTGAAAAAATAATTATATTAAAGTATTTAGACCTTATTTTTATTTTAAAAATAATTTTTATTATTAATTATGTGCATGAAAATAAATGAAAATTATGCATTAATTATATTTATTATATTAAACGAATAATAGATACTCAAAATATGTACTTTCATAATCAAAAAAACATTTTTTAATGACAATATACTTTCAATTTTTAACAAAATTTCATTCTTTTAAATATTTCTAAATGGTATTCAATTAAAATTCCTTATTCATATTCATATGTTTTAGTTTTTGCCTTTATAAAAATATTACATATGAATATTATTAAACATGTATAAGACAAATAAATTTGTTAAAAATAATAATCTTAAATTAAAAAAGAACTATTTAATTGCAAATATATGAAATTTAAGTTCACACATATGATTATTATGAATTCCCGAATAATATATAAAAATTGATTTTATTAAAATATAGACAAAACATTAATTATTTTTTTGGCAGAAAAAACGAATGAAATCGGCTTTAGCATTTCATTTAATTGGATATTATTTTTTTATTTTAATAATATCTTTTCTGTTTTATTAATAATTTTTTTTAGAGAAAATGTTAGTTTGTTTTACGCTTTATCATCTATGAGATTGTTTTAATATTTAATCAATAAATCGGGACTGAAATAAATTATTTTTCTTTTTGCAAAGATTTTTATTTTAACTAAATTACAACTATTTAATTTTTTTTTTTTATATATTTAAAATATTTTCCATTTTTATTTATATATTTTCACTAAAAATTATATTCGGAATGCTTGCTTAGTCATTTTTTACATTATATCTAATTTTCATCATTGGAATTTCAAATTAAATATTCCTAACAAAGCATTATTTTTCTAAAAAATATCTAGGTTTTTTCTTTATTTTATTTTTAAATTTGATAAATGTCTTGCATTTTTATATTATTAATAAATCACTTTATTATTTCAACGTTTTAACTATTTTCTAAAGTAATATTTTTTTTTTTTTAATTTAATTATTGATTAAATAATAATTTCAAAACTAATTAATTATTTTGAAAGCTTTTTATTTTTATTTTTAAATAAAAATTTACTATTATTTTTATATTTTTTTTATAAATTTCTTTTTAAACTCAAGCAAAAATAAGAAAATAACTTTTTCATTTTTTCTAATATTTTTGTTGTTGTTTTTGATTGGTTTTAAAAAAATATAATTAATAAATAAAATATTTTTTTTAATAAGTTTAAAAATATAAGAATTCAATTAATATTTATATAACTTGAAATAAATTATGTATAAATATTATTAAAAAAATTTCAACATTAAATATATAAAATTTTTGATTTATAATTTGTAAAATTAAAAAAATAAGAATAAATATAACAATTTTTCAATTATTTAATATATTTATGTCTCTAACTTTCAAATTAATTCTTAATTTATGAAGAGGTCCATGCAAAAACGATGGAACATAAATCATTTCATAATTATCATCACATTCAAATTCAAAAGTCTTAATAAAATAGTTAACTATAATTCTAGCTTCCATCTATGCCATATGTTATCCAACACAATTTCTTTATCCTGAACTAAAAGAATTAAAAGTAAAAGGAATATTATTAGGTTAATCAATCCATCTTTAAGGATTAAAAACATGAGGATCTTTATAATAAATAGGATTTCTATGAATAGCATGAGATAAAATATTAAGTGATGTTCCTTTATAAATAAAAATGTTATCTAAATAATGATCTTTTATTGCTATCCTGCCCATTATATTATTTGTAGGACCATAATATCTTAAAGTTTCCTTCATAACTGCATTTAAATAAGGTAATGCTTATAATGTTTTGTGTGAATTATCAGTGTTTTCTAATATTTCTTTTTACAATTTTTCTTTCATATCATTATATTATGTTAAATAATAAATCATCATTCCTAATAAATGACCTGTAGTATCCATTCCAGCAACATAAAAAGTTAAAAATTCATTTACAATATCATCTAAGGAAAGTACATTTAAAAGATTTTTAATTTTAAGATAATAAATAAGATCATATTTTATGCTTTCTTTTCCTTATTTTTCTAATTCTTATTCTTCTTCTAATCTTTCTATTGCAATTTTTTTAATAAATTCTCTAAATTCTTTTATTTATTTGTTTAAAAGTCGATCTTTTTCATTAAGTCCTAATTCATATAAGAAAGTTCCAAAAAATTAATATTTATATTCATTAAATTAACAGCCTAAAGTACTAATTAAATAAGAAAGAGATTATGTAAGAGACATTCCATAGAATTTTTTTTCTTCAAAATTATTACTAAAAAAGGATTAAATTATAACTTCAGCTGTAATTTCTTAAAAAAGTTCAATCAAATCAACATTTTCAAGTTTATTTTCTTTTATTAAGTTTAAAAATGTCTTTTTTGTTAAGTTTTCAATTATCGGAATTCTTTAATATAAGAATTAAAATGGAAAATTGGTGCCATTGCCATTCTATGATTTTCCATTTTATCCTTTTGAAAAAGTATTCCTTCTCC